AACGGATCGCGGTGGTGCTGTGCGCTCCCAGGGAGCTCGCACAGGCTGTAAATGCGGGTGCCATTTATGAACAGCAACCCGCTCCTGCACTGCTCCCGTCTGGCCAAACGGAAGTTTGACACTCCAAAAACAGCCCAAATTTTGTCTTTTTTTTAACCACTTCCAGTCCGGACACTTTCACCCCCTTCCTGTCCAGGGCAATTTTCAGCTTTCAGCGATATCACACTTTGAATGACAATTGCGCGTGGTCATGCAACACTGTACCCATATGAATTTTTTACCATTTTTTTGAGAAAGATAAAGCTTTATTTTGGTGGTATTTATTCACCGCTGGAATTTTTATTTTTTTTGCTATATAAATGAAAATGTCCAGACATTTTTACCCTGAAAAATCTCCTCCGTGTTTTTCCTTATAACATTTTTTTTAAAAAATGCAAATAAATAATATTATTGTCATCATAAACTTAGCCAAAATTTATTCCGTTATGAACCACTTTTTAGTAAAAAAAAAAAAAACGATACGAGCCAAATTAGTTATAACCAAAAATTATAATTTTTTTTAACATTTTTTTTACATTTTTATTTTATTTTTTTATATTATTATTTATGGTTTTTTTTTTTGGTTTTTTTTTACATACCGTCACCCTAGCAGTACAGTGTCACCATGGTGACACTGTACTATTTGTGGGGGGTGATGATTTTTTTTTTTTACAGTGATTGCTTTTACACCCATATAGGATGTAAAAGCAATTATTTCTGTTTCTCTCTGTCTGCATTCTTGCAGCCATTGAGAAATACTGTGTGAGCTGTGATTGGTCAGAGCTTGTCACATGGTACAAGGCTGTTGTGAATAGCCTTGTACCATGTGACCTCTGTGATCATTCACAGATTTCACACGTAGAAAGCAATGATGTCACAAGTGACATCTTGCTTACTACTTTGCATGTGACACTTACTACTTTGCATTGGTCCGAAGATCAGTGTTTCATTGTGTCCGGAGGACACAGCGGGCACCGGATCGCGGTGCTGCGTGCTCCCAGGGAGCGCGCACAACTAGAAATAGCGGGTGCCGTTTCTGAACAGCAACTCACCCCTGGAGTGCCAACCGTCCTGCTGTTTAAAAACAGCAGGCGGACGGCAAGTGGTTAATATGAGGTTCTGAAATTATTTTAAAAAAGAATGGCTTGGGGCAGCCTGCAGCCATAACATTTGGATATGTCCGCATCTTGGATCTGTATTAAAAAGTAGAAGTTTGCTCAGGAGTGATGAAGGTTGATATAGTGTACTTTCTGCATGAAAAGCACTTTTTTATTTGACTCAATGTTTTGGACCCAGAGTAATTATTTTTGTAGAAAAGGCTGGGTTTTGTGGAAGCAAACTACATCCACGAGTCATCTATGGTTAGCTTAAGCCTGGGCTGAGAGGCCAGTGCTGCCATGGAGTCAAGCACGCATCCTGACTCCTCCAAAAACATGTGATGTCGCCTTAACTACTGTCGCACTACAGGCTGCCTATAAAAAAAAACTACAGGAGGGCAGATACAAGACCAGTCTTGCCTATCCCAGAGTTTAGCTCCAAAGCTGAAATCCAGGAGTTCAGCTACTTTGTAAGATGTGGAGGCATAATAGTGGTTAAGTCCAGTTAGATGCATGCCACCTTCTGGACTTTTCTTTTTTATTTACATTTGACAGTTTATTCGTAGCTAGGGAGTACACACTCCTGGAAAGATGCTGTCTTCTCCTCAAAACAGCTTTGCCTACCCCTTCCCTCTGATGCCCATTCACAGAAGGCTTTGTATTCTGTGAATGGGTTCACATAACACAAAATGCTCTTTGAATGGGCAGGAGGGGAACAGCAGGTGCAAGCCTTCTGCAGCTAGAGGAACTGAGACCAGAAGGTACAGCGATGGAGTTTCAGTAGTATGCAATAGCTTTACTCCCCGGAGCTTCATAAATTTTTCAGTTGTAAATTAATGAGATAGGTCCACCAGGTGATATGTACCTCTTTGGACCTAACTCACATGTTTTAAGGTTGCTGAATTCCTGGAATTCAGCTTTAAAAAGGTGTGCATTTTGTTACCTAAAAGTCTTTATACTGCAATTTGACATTCCCAATGTCAGTGTATTATTATCATGTCACCACAAAAAGGCGATATTTCCTGAAATGTATTCTAGAGGCAGTGTAAGCAAACAATGACGTGCCGCTGATCAAGGATGGCTGCATGTCATGTGACATTTTTGAGTACACTGCAACCAATTTGAACATTACCCTCCAAATTCCAAAAATACTAAATGCATGATTTGCAGCCCAGGCCATGCCAAACACATGGCCAGTTGAAAAGAATTGTCGAACATTTTGGAAAACATTTTGCTGTCTTTAACTCATGTTTGTATTTTTACCGAGAAGTGAACAATCCTTCTAGAAAGAAGAAACAGAAATACTATAAATGGACTTTATAGGCACAAAAACAAGGCACACGTATAAATAAAATCAATTTTGCTCAATATTGCTATACGTGTACCTTGTTTTTGTGCCTATAAAGTCCATTTATAGTATTTCGGTTTCTTCTGACTAGTCAAAATTAGGACATGGCACTAGTGTATATATTGGGAGTGACCCTTCACCCGAGGGACCAGAAAAATATTGACTGAATTGGGAGTGAGATTTGAAACAGTAGGTTTGACAGCAAGGAGGAGTTGCAGGCAGCAATGACTTGAGGACTGCACTAGGATGACATAATGATGAGGGGGGCATCTTTGATACTTCACCAGCATAATGAGGTATGGTTTAGGGATGATGGAGGATTTTGATAGACCATTAAACATTTTCAGTTTCATTATATATTTGCCAAAATTAGAAATTGATTGTCAGATTTAATTAGGGGTTGCTTTCCCACTTTGCTTTGCTCATTCTAAATTGTAGTGAAATTAGATAGTATTGCTTTTTTAAACGTTTTTTTTACTGTGCAGTAGTTATTTTTCCACAGTCCTTTAAGGTTTTCTTTAGCTAGTCCCTCCAAATGTCATTCTGCCTTGTGTTACATGTAGTTTTTTTGATGTGTTCACCATTTTTCCGGTGATGTTTTTACATTCTTGTGGCTGTGCACTCCATTCACGAGTCTTTCAGTGCTTCTTAGGTGTTTTTTTTTGGTTGTGTCTGCTTTTTACCAGCCTTTCTAATGATGTTTCTGATACTGTGGTGTACCAAAAAGATGTTGGAATTATTCTCTTGGTCAAGCACTCAAAAGGGCTTCAAAAAGTCTCCTGTCAACTACAATTTATAAACAGCTTAGGTTTGCCTATAGAGAACAATTTGGGGTTAACTGTATGGATAACAAATCAAAATAGTTCATGTTCAATATTATATACAGTCTTGTAGACATTTAAAGATTAACTGAAAACTATTTTTTTTCTTTTTTCTTTGTATAGTGTGGTTGTTGTCTCTGTCCGTGTTAGGAAGTATCAGTCTCTCTATTTTTCTTTATTACTAATGTCATCAGAAATTAAGGTGAAAAACAGGAATAAAGGGGAAAACTTCCTGTGTGGATTCTTCCTATTTACAGCTGGGCAAGTGGGCTTTTCCTAACATTTTTATAAGTGTATTCTTTTATTTATTTCAGGTACTTATATAGCGCCGTCAATTTACACAGCACTTTCCATATATATTGTACATTCACATCAGTCCCTAACCCTCAAGGGGTGTACAATCTAAGGTCCCCAACTCACATTCATACATACACATACTAGGGACAATTTAGACTGGAGCCAATTCACCTACAGCATGTCCTTGGAGTGTGGGAGGTAACCAGAGCACCCAGAGGAAACCCACACAGGCACAGGGAGAACATGCAAACTCCAGGCAGGTGGTCCCGTGGTTGGGATTCAAACCGACGACCCTAGCACTGCCAGGCGTAAGTGCTAACCATTTAGCCACTGTGCTACTCCTTAGGTGTGATGCAATGGCTGATGGGTGAGTCTTGTTTGATTTTAAATGTGATGGACGAACTTCGTAAATGGAATATTGATTATATTGCGTGCTTATTGGCAAATTTTTTTTCTCATTTTAAATATGACAGAAGAATCTTATTTGTATTTAGAAACTTTGGTTTATGTTTTATAGCGATGGGCAAATCCTGTTTAAAAATGATAGTCAAATGCTGTAAAATACTGAAAGATGGATGTCCAGCAAACATTTGCTGTACAAAATGCATAGTGTCTTTGTCAGAGTTTACTTCTACTTTAAATCTTTCAATGTACATTCGTTGTTTGTTAGAAATGTTGCCCAGATTACTAAACGGCCTTTTTCAAACTTTTCAAAACAGAGAATCCCTTAAATTAACTTTCTGGTCTTGGGGAACCCCAGCTTAACCGCTAGCCTACAGGGCACTTATACCCCCTTCCTGCCCAGGCCAATTTCCAGCTTTCAGCGCTGTCACACTTTGAATGACAATTGCGCGGTCATGCAACACTGTACCCATATGAAACTTTTATCATTTTTTTGTGACAGATAGAGCTTTATTTTGGTGGTATTTAATCACCTCTGGGTTTTTTTATTTTTTCTGAAACAAACCAAAAACCACTGAAAATTTTGAAAAAAAAAAACTTTTTTTCCTAGTTTTTGTTATAAAATTTTGTAAATAATTGATTTTTCTCCTTCACTGATGTGCGCTAAGGAGGCTGCACTGATGGGCACTGATAGGCTGCACTGATGGACACTGATAGGTGGCACTGATGGGCACTGATGAGGAGGCATTGGTAGGTGGCACTGATGGGTATTGACAGGCATCACTGATGGGCACTGAAAGGCAGCACTCATATATGGCACTCAGGTTGCATATGGCACTGTTAGGTTGCACTGACTGGCACTGTTAGGTTGCACTGACTGGTACTGTTAGGCGGCACTGATAGGCAGCACTGCACGGGCACTGACGGGCACTGATGCACACCGATAGGCGGCACTGACTGGTAATGATAGGCAGCACTGACTGGCACTGATAGGTGGTACTGATTGGCAGCACTGATAGGTGGCACTGATAGGTGGCACTGACTGGCACTGATGGGTGACCCTGAAAGGCAGCTCAGATGGGCACTGATATGTAGCATTAATGTGGCACTGATGGGCACTGAAATGTGGCACTGATGAGGCACTGATGGGCACTGGCAGGTGGAATGGATGAGCACTGACACATGGCACTGATGGACACTGACAGGTGGCGCTGCTGGGGCTACACAGATCATCAGGGCACACTGATCATCAGTGCTCTGATGATCTGTGTAGATGTCCCCTCCGAGGAATGCCGATTACCGGCTCTCCTCTGCTCTTGAGCTGTCAGCGTGACAGCTCGTGAGGAGAGAAATGTCGATAACTGGCATTTCCCTGTTTACATGTGATCAGCTGTGATTGGACACAGCTGATCACATGACTGAGCCGACATCTTTGGCTCTTTCCGTGGATCGGTGATCTGCTGTGTCCGAGGGACACTGCGCACCGCCGATCACTGCGCTGCACGCTCCGGGAGCCGCGCATGCACGGTTAGAATGGGAGGACGTCCTCCCAGAACGAGAGAACCACCTTGCGTCCGTCATATTACTATATGGCGGGTGGGAGGCGGTTAAAATGACTCTATCTACAACTCATGATACATTACTGTGATGGTCGGTGGGAAGAATGTTCCTTACACTTGTGGTCATTGGGAAGAATTCCTCCCTTACAGATAGCTAGAAAAATCATTGGTGTCAGTGGGAACTTATCTGAGAGGCAGGAATTGATCATTGCTCAAGGCACCCTTAGCAATCTCTGGAGGTACCCTAGGGTTTCATGGAACATTGGTTGAGAAACCCTGACCTAGAAATTAACTTCAGTACATGTGAGGTCTAAAGAATATAATATGATTTCACATCCAAAGAAAAAGATATTATTCAACATTGGGTACAATTTGGATCTTACTGCTGCGAGTCTAATCTTCATCTCAAATATGTGTATTCAAATGTTCCTAGTATCTTTTTCCTGCAAGAGATTTTCAGACCAGTTTTTTTTGGAATTAAGCAAGATGACCTTTATTAGTGTGTAAAACACACTTTCTCTCTCCCTCTTTGTTTTTTTTTTTTCTTTCTTTCTTTTGCTTTCTTTCTACCTCATCCTTCAGTTCCCACACATAAGCTTTACTATGTGCCTGGGCTTCTTCTTTGGAGGAGAGAGATCTGACTCAGCAGCTTGAAATGACAACTATCTCACCTCTGCCATAGTACTGTTATGGGTAATGAGGGGGATTTGTAGAAAATTACATAAAAAAAAAAGAAAAATAAAAGCTAAATGTTTAAGCCTTATTTGACTGAAGGTACAGACATTTTTATTATTATTATTATTATTATTATTATACAGGATTTTTATAGCGCCAACAGTTTGCGCAGTGCTCTACAAAATGAAGGCAGACATTACAGTTACAATACAGTTTGGTACAAGAGGAAACAGAGGGCCCGGCTCGTTAGAGCATACAATCTAGGAGGAGGGGTTGAGTGATACAAAATGTAATAGCTGTGAGGGGGATGAGCTGGTGGAGGAAAGAAATGGCAGTTTACTAGGTAGGAGCAGGATAGGCGTCTTTAAAGAGAAAGATTTTCAGGGATCATCTAATGGTGAATAGATTAGGAGACAGCCGGACAGATTGGGGTAGGGAGTTCCATAGGATGGGAGAAGCTCGGGAGAAGTCCTGGAGGCGAGCATGGGAGGAGGTGACACAGGAACTAGAGAGCAGAAGGTCTTGGGAGGATCGAAGAGAGCAGTTTGGTTGATATTTTGACACCAGGTTGGTGATGTAGCTGGGGGCAGAGTTGTGGATGGCTTTGTAAGATGTTGTTAGTATTTTAAATTTTATTCGTTGGGCGAGTGGAAGCCAGTGGGAAAGGTTTTCAGGGATCATGTAAAGGTGGATAGATTAGGAGACAGCCGGACAGATTGGGGTAGGGAGTTCCACAGGATGGGAGAAGCTCGGGAGAAGTCCTGGAGGCGAGCATGGGAGGAGGTGACACAGGAACTAGAGAGCAGAAGGTCTTGGGAGGATCGAAGAGAGCGGTTTTTGGTTGATATTTTGAGATCAAGTTGGTGATGTAGCTGGGGGCAGAGATGTGCATGGCTTTGTAAGTTGTTGTTAGTATTTTGACTCCTGCAGTCAAGCCATCACCTGAGGCTGATTGCAGGAGGTGTATTTAAGCAATGGCCAGACCTGCAGTCAGTGCCTTGGTGTTTCCCATGAGCCCCTGTACCTGGTATCCTGTGAATCTTCTGTTGCCGACCTCTGCATTGTTCCTGACCCTGCTAACCGTCTCCTGTTTAACCCCTGGCTTGCCTGACCATCCTTCTGCCTGCTCCTCTGTACTGCGCTGCCCATGAGTTACTGACCCGGCTTGTGACCCTGACCATCCTTCTACCTGCTCCTCTGTACCGCGCTGCCCATGAGTTACTGAACCCGGCTTGTGACCCTGACCATTCTCTGCCTGCTCCTCTGGTACCTTGCTGCCCGCACGTTGCTGCCCTGGCCTGCCTGACTACGCCTTACGCTACCCAGACGATCCATCCATCCCGCACGGATCTGTCCCTGTTACCAGGTCTGCCAGCCTCTTCACGTCAGGCTCCTTTCCCGCACACCTCTGACGACACTCTCTACCATTGCTGGACGTACTCAGGGGTCGCGACCTGGTCTCAGTCTGCTCCAAGTCCATCCCCACCATCAGGGGCCCTGGTGAATAAGCAGATTGGGACTTAGATCCCGCGCCCTGAGGAACCCCGTGCTGTGGGCTGCTAGAGACTCCACCAGGCGGTGCTTAACAGTACCAAACGGTCTGCCTGACCATTCCACCTCTCAAGCCCTGACTACACCTGTGTTCCTACACATTTCTGATCATATCCGGATCCCTGACAGTGCTCCTCTGTTCCTGCAGCTTTTGAGAGTGTGTGAAAGCAGTGGGTTTCCGTGGACAGAGGGGCCTCTATGGAAAGGCAGGAAGGCCCAAACCAATACTTGGTAATTACACATGCAACACAATTAATTTATTCTAACACGAAAGAGCTTTCCTTTCTACCAATATGGCGGTGTTTATGAATTTTTTGCAACAATAGTGCCATACAGTGAAAGTGTGGCAGATAAGAACTTCCTGAATTTGTCCCATACGTTGGTACTAACAATGCAAATTGACACAGACTCATCATGAATTAGGCGCAAGGCTTCCAACTACCAACACACCACCAGAAATGTGCCTCTAATGCCTTATTGGATCGCCTTGATAGTTTTAGTAAGTGTGCATGCTTGTACTCTTTTTAACTTGCAATTTCAGATTAAAAAGTAGGCAAAACTTTAGTTCTGTACTATTTATTAGGAGAAACCATTTAATTAACAGATACTAAGATCATATGACTTACAGTATATATTTTCTGTTTGACACCCACATACCTGGACCAGGTTGCCAGTCTTCCTACTTGTTCCAGAGCCCTAAATTGTTCAAATGTTTTGTTTGTTAGAGATAGTTGGCAGGTGTATAACATAGACTAGTCTCATTAAAATTCTTTTGATTCCATTATTCAGATCATCATCTTCCTCGGTGGAGGGATGGAATTGTGGTAGTTGTCCCTGTTGTTCTATAATGAAACTGGCACTTGTCATAAAGTTAAGTCATCATGAGAGCACTACAGTAACTGCCATTATTTCTCTTATTCTAGCTTTTAGACCAGTAATCAAGCTACAGTACTTTTTGAGTCACTGACCTAAAACGAGAAATTAGATGTTGTTTTCTGCTTTCATGTGCTGGGTCAATGACTCAAAATATTGAAGCAAGGGGACCAGCATGAAAGCCTGATGGCTAATTCAGATGCAGATATCAGAAAAGGCAAGGTCTTGAAAATTATGAAAACTGGATAGAGTGGTGGAAAAACTTGTGTGAAAGTTTATGAAAACAGCTCTGGTGGGCTTCAAAGGTGGTTAAGCAACATACAAGAGATTACGGTAATGATCAGTGTGTACTTCCATTTTTAACCTTTGTATTCTCCCCCTTCCTGTGGAAAGAAAAGTATAATTATAACCTTGTGTTAGACCAGGAAAGGAAGTCCTTGCTACGCCTTTATAATACACCAATTTGTCATGTATCTCCAAATCGCTAACTCTGTTCTAAGCAGATCCAATAAAGAAAGCTTCTTGGGACTTAGTTTACCTGAAAGGTATTCATGAAAAGGGGGAATATTCAAGTTTATGTAGACCTAGATTATTATTTAATATTATTATTATTATACAGGATTTATATAGCGCCAACAGTTTGCTCAGCCCTGTACATTATAAAGGGAGACAGTACAGTAACAATAAATTCGATACACGAGGGGTTTGAGGGCCCTGCTCCTTGGAGCTTACAATCTGGGAGGGAGGGGATAGTGGTACAGGAGGAAATAGCTGTGGGGGATGGAGTGGTAGGAAGAATGGAGGAGTTCAGTAATTAGCTGAGGACGGGGTAGGCTTCCCTGAAGAGATAGGTTTTCAGAGTGTGCCTAAAGGTGAGGAGAGTAGGTGACAGTGTGATGGATTGGGGTAGGGAGTTCCAGAGAATGTGGGGAGCCCTGGAGAAATCCTGGAGACGGGCATGGGAGGAGGAGACCAGGGAAATAGAGAGTAGGAGGCCTCGTGAGGAGCGGAGAGTACGTTTTGGGTGGTATTTGGATACCAGATCGGTGATGTAGTTTGGGGCAGTATTATGAACAGCTTTATAAGTCAATGTTAGCATTTTGAATTCTATCCGTTGGGAAATTGGAAGCCAGTGGAGGGATTGGCAGAGAGGGGTGGCGGATACGGATAGATTTGAAAACTCTGGGACTACATTGCTCTGTCCCTTTCAGTCAACTACTGGTACATTTTATTTATTCAGTAAAAGATGAAGAAAAACAAAATATCTGGTGATCCTGCCAGTTTATTTTTGAATATTGTAATTATTTCTGGTTTATGACCACACTACGCACAGAAACTGTGTAAGCTAAAGCAATACAGAGGACACACTGGCCCTGTGCATTATCTTTAAAACATGATTTTATTTGTATAAAAGTGGTATTATGCTGACAAAAGACGAATGAATCAAATGCCCATCATTTAAAAACAGCACCATTGGCTCTGAGAAAGAGACAAGTCCTCGAAACGCGTTAGTAAACAGGAGGGCGCAATAGCTTAGTGCATATCTTTAAAACATGATTTTATTTGTATAAAAGTGGTAAGTATTCTGACAAAAGACAAATGAATCAAAGGCCCATCGTTTTAAAACAGCACCATCCAGTCTGCAATAAAGCACATGCCATGACAGGATCAATGGACTTCCAGCAGGCTAACGCGTTTCAAAGACTTGCCTCTTTCTCAGAGCCAGCGGTGCTGTTTTTAAATGATGGGCCTTTGATTTATTCATCTTTTGTGAGTATAATACTTACCACTTTTATACAAATAAAATCATGTTTTAAAGATAATGCACTAGACCAGTACGCCCTCTGTTTTGATTTATGGTTACAGTGTGCCCAGACTTCCCCAGTTCTTTGTGGGCGGCAAGGTAAAAGTGATCTAAGAGCCAGGATAGAAATACAGCCAGTTGTTACCTTTGAGTCCACCCCCAAGTGCAGGAGATTTTTCTGTTTGATGTTGACTTGGAAGCACAGAAACAGATCTGTGCTAGCATGGTAAGTTTGTATTTTTTTATCTTCCAATAGAATAGGACATACAGGACGTGGCACCAAAAGTCTTTTTTTCTTTAACCACCCTGGCAGTATTCCCGAGTGTAGCTCGGGGTAAAGTTTCAGTACCACAAGTGGTAACCCCGAGCTACACTCGGGCTTACCATGCGGCGCTGTTCCGCGATCCCTCGATCACTTACCTTGTCCTGCACTCCCGCGGTGTCCCCGGCAATGTCCTCCAGCGGATGCCGGCGGATCTGTCTTCCGAGTTCCATTCCCTGCGAGCGTCGGGACGTACGGGGGACAGGACGGCGGGAAATTTGAAAATGACAAAAAGTGACATTCACTCAATACACTAAAATCACATAGTAAAACATTACTGTATCAAACCATTTCACATACATTTTGTCCCGAGTGCTTTGTCCTGTGCCCTGCCTGCATTTTTACTGTTCTTATTGCCTGGAAACTGAGAAAAGTCCATGGCGTCCAAAAAGCGTCCCTTTAGGTCAAAAGTGGTTTTAGACCAGCTAGAGAACAGCGATAGTAAATCAGAACCACTTGCAGAATTGAGTGATAATGATTCGTGGGGAAACTGAAAACGATTTTGCGGCTTTGCTCAGTAATGTGCAAACTTGGCGCTATATTTCAAATTTCAGTGTTTTTGGTTTGATTATATTATTGAATTACATTTATTATTATATTATAATTTTTTTTGATTATTTATTAAATTATAAGTTATGATTTAATGTTTCAAATTGTAACATACTGGGGATGTTTACTAGACTCTTGTTCGGACAGATTTCAGTGAGTTATTCCTAAAAATTACAGGCCTACAATAAAAAAAATACATGTTTTCATGCGAAAAATGTACCGCTTTGAGCACAGAAATATGGACATAATCAGACCGCTAGGGAGGTTAAGCTGGGTAAATAAGATGTAATTAGACACGGGTACAAAACTAATATATATAGAGAAGTGGGAAAAAGATATGGGAAGGGAAATAGATGAGGAGCAGCAGAGGAAAATGCTCAGATTAATTCACAAAAATACTAGCATGCGGGAAGTGGAGTTGAACTATAAGTGTTTAGTAAGATGGCACATCACACCAAATGTGGAACACAAATTGAACGGGGAGATTTCACCATTGTGTTGGAGAGGATGTGGTGAAGTGGGTACGTTATATCACATATGGTGGGAGTGTTTAAAGATACAGGTGTTTTGGAGGAAAATTGTTTACTTAGTAAGGAAAATCATTGAGATCGACATTAGATTGGATCCAGAGCTATGTCTTCTCCATGTCACAGAGCTTTCAGTGAGATCATATAAGGATTCAGGAATATGGTATTTCTTGAGCGCAGCTAAGAGTCTTATACCTAGGTTCTGGAAAAAAAGGGGGAGGTGCCGACAGAGGAAGAGTGGATGGTCAGAATGAATCAGATTCGTGGGACGGAAAGATTGTATTATATGCATATGGATATGATGGAGAAGTATAATATAAAGTGGAAAAAATGGGAAGAATATAGAGAACAAGTGAAATATATGATGATGATTTATACCCTTTGAAATAAAAATGGATTTTAGAAATGGTTTTTAGAGAAGAGAAATGGGGGAGGGGGGGGGGGGGGAGGAGATTGAAGGAGATGGGGGGGGGGGGGGGAGGGAGGGTAGGTAGGGGAAGTGGGATATAGATAAATTACGTCAATAAGAATATATTTATTTGATGTCTTTTTATAGTAGTAGGTGATTGTGATTTGTATTTGGATGAAAATCAATAAATATTTATAAAAAATAAGATGTATATGAATATTTTATATTCTCATTTTTCAGCTACTAGGTGACACTTTAGTTTTCTTCTCACATGTTTTGCATAGTATTCTTTTCTGCCTT